CTGGTATTAGATTGTATACCTAACTGGTGATAGATGATCAAAACAATGGACTAGAAAATAACATATTCTCATTTTATCTAAAATACTATCTTGATCTGATCAGCTATGACATCATTTAATCTGTGCTTCCTTCCCACCTTTTTCAGGAAGCCTGCCCCCCCCCCCCTCCCCCGAGGCATCTCTCACATACCTTATAAGTATTATTATACATAAATATTATATTATTGTATACGGTATTTACTGTATTGAAACTGTACTGTCTGCCCTCATGTTGTAAAGCACTGTGCAAACTGTTGGTGCTATAGGAATTGTGAATAATATTAATAACTTAGGCTCCATGCACAATAGCATTTTTTTAAGCTCCTAGAAGCTGTTGTTTGCATTTTTTTTCTGCTCCCAGAAGCTAAATAGTGTTATTTTGTGTGTCCATGCACACTATTCAGGCTATTAGCATTTTTCAAGCTTCAGTGTTTAGAAGCAGAACAAAAATTTTTTGTACAGATTTTAAGAGTGTTTTTCTGGTAGAGAAAACTCTGAACGCTCCTGAAACACTCCTAAAAGCTTTTCTCTTTTTTTTTCCTACATGTACTGTAAAAACACTAATGAATATGCTACAGCTCCTAAGCACTACTAAAAACACTATTAACTATTTTTTTTAGCCAGTGTTTTTTGAGCTTAAATAGAAACGCTAGTGTGCATGGAGCCTTTACGAAGAATTCCAGGTATGGATATTTTATACATAGTTACATTGGTCCAATATAACTATGTATATATCATACCTGACCGGTGCCCCTGAAGCTGGAAATCACTGAGGTAAACATCACTACTACATTGCTAGTCCAGTGATCTCCACTTGCATTTGGGTCTCATGCAGAGTGGCCGGCCTGATGCATTGTGAACAGGTCAGCCTTTGGCACAGGCGCCATTCAGAAAATGCACTGCATTTTCTAAATGAATACATGATGTTCTCTGTTTGGACAAGGTGTAGGGGCAGGGCGGTGTGATAATGTTCTTTACTATTTTCATCTTCCAGGGGAATCGACCAAGTATGCTATATAGTCAGTCCCCGAGTTACGAACATTTGAGGTATGAATGACTCGTACTTATAAACACAGGGAGAAACAAGTGAGAGTAAATCTACCCTTAGGAAGGGAAATTTACTCCTGTAAGAGTTATCACGGGAAGGTGTCTGCACTGAAGGTGTATCAACAATACTTTTTCCCACGAAAAACCCCAAATTTTCTAAATCCAATTGTCACAGGGACAGAAAGTGAGGTGGAATCTTCTGAACAGGGACACAGACAGCAAAACAAACACTACAGGGATGTTAACCCTTCCCTATGCTATCCAAAAAAACTTGGGTTGGAGCTACACTTAAAAACAATTTACCTGTTCCATCTTACATACAAATTCAACTTAACAAACCTACAGATCCTATTGTGTTCGTAACCTGGGGACCACCTGGTATGCACAGTTACAATGATCCAAACTAGACAAATGTAACTACGTATAAAAGAGCCATACCTGGAATCGATCTTACAACTCTGCAGATGTCCACTATTACATTCTATGTGTAATACTGATAAACGTGTCCTAGGATCAAAAGTGACCCCACAGCTGCATAGCAGGAATTCTTTGGGGTCCAGGGAACCCTAATCTGCTGGCCCACACCTAGTGGAAAACTGGAATCTCCAGGTGCGGAGTGCAGAAGTACACCCATTTACCTCCGATGTAATGTTCATGACTGAACAACCAGTCAAAAGGACACACCAATGTCAGATGAAGATCTGACTACAGTACCAACTTTCAGAAACATAGCAACAAGACGATAGCAACAAGACTGCTGGAAAACAGCCGTTTCACAAGGCAGACATCCTCTGTATCAGTGCATTCATATATTTGCTCTAGTTTGTCCACAGATGAAAAGATGAGCAGCTCAGCTCTTATTCGCCAACTTCAACCAGGGCAACACGTCTCTGGCTGTGGGTATCAAGTCTGGATATACGTTTTTATCCTTGACATCTGTGGACAAACTAAAGCAAAATATATGAATGCGCTGATACAGAGGATGTCTGCCTTGTGGAACGACTGTTTTCCAGCAGTCTTGTTGCTATCATCAGTCTTAAAGCACCACGAAACTTAAAGTTTGCCATTTTAAAAAAGGAACAGAAATCTGTAACTACAGTTAATCTAACACTATGTTGGCTGTGAAGTTAAATCGGCCGCCCTTTAAGGTGGATTTCTGCAAACACCTTCTGTGTCCCCATCCATTGGTCATTTATATCTGAGAAGATGACCCTGGAGAGTATGTGAGAGGTCTGCTAATAACCCTGTGTGCTGACTTGTGCCAGATGATTGCCTTTGATCCTCATCCACATCCAGATGACCATGACGGGATAACCTTTTACACAAATGCGCATTAAGATTGCGCTTCTGTTAGTTAGTGCATTCACATTACCAATTTCCAGTCACCTAGTCAAGGAACTCACGGAAACAAATTACTGCCTCACATGACAAATATTTGTATTTATTATTGTTTCCACTATTTATATATCATATCTGGACGATTCACTTTGTTTACTCATCTACGCCTACTGGCGCCTGCACATATTTCACTTCATTAGTTATTTTAGCGCTGCATCTTTGTTTACAGATTTATTTAGAGGGTAAGAGGTTTCACCTTGATGCTAGCAGCTTGATACCCAGCGCTCGTTTTACATCCTATGTTTTATATTTATATATAAATTCATACACCTTCTAACTTTCTGAGAGAAGAAAGAGGGACAACTTCTTGCACAAACTATGTTAAGGACACAACCTCCACTATGGCCCCGGTTCCATAGACCACAAAGTGGTTCTAAAGGCTAAACATTTTTTACCGTAATCCATTTTCTGCATTCACTTGATCCAGAGCTGTGCCTGCATGCAGCAGCTCTGTCTTCTCTCCCAGCAGAAGCCATTGATGATGAGGGAGCGGGGGGAGCATGGAGCCAAGTCACGCTGTGTCTATGGATACAGGCAGCGTGGCTCGGGATCAAGCCTGCACAAGTGCCCCCATAGTAAGCAGCTTCCTATGGGAGCACTTGCTGAATAGGAGGAGGCAGGAATGCTGGTGGGAGACGTGAGAAGAGGAGGTTCGGTGCCACTCCATGCAATTCTCTATTGCACAGAGCAGGCAAGTATATCATGTTATTGACTAAAAAAATTAAAAAAATGACTTTACAATCAATTATTTTTCTTCTGTGTTTTCTAAATTACATATGACCTCATTTAGCCGGTGCAATTTGTCATGCGATTTGACAATTCCAAATTGCAGCAATTTTGAAAATAGTTCCTGCACTATGTTTGGCAATTTCAGGTGCAACTTGCACAGATGTCAGGCAAGTCACATCTGAAATCGCACTGACCAGCTTTGAAATTGAGCTACTTCAAGTGAAGTACAGTCATGGACAATTGTTGTTTTCGATTTCAAAATCACATTTAGTGTGAACCAGGGATTAGAGTTTGTGTGAAAAGCTTAGTGTAGTACAACAGTTCTGGTAATTAAATAGTACATTTTTAGAAGTCTATTTAAAAAGAGAGATAAATGAGGTAGTAAAGTTGGTTCTAAAAGCGAGACAGCTTTTCTAAATAGAGGGCTATGATACCGTGTGTGTGTGTATGTACAGTATGTATGAAATTGCAGTGGATCGTGCAAACAGAGTGCATGCACTGGTGTGAACTGGCTCTATATGTACTTCCTGCTTTGCTGAGAGCTCAGGCCCATCGGATATGCGACAACTACTGGATATATACACTCACCGGTCACTTTATAAGGTACACCTTGCTAGTACTGTGTTAGACCCCCTTTTGCCTTCAGAACTGCCCTAATTCTTCGTGACATAGATTCAACAAGGTGTTGGGAACATTCCTCAGAGATTTTTGTCCATACTGACATGCTAGTATTATGCAGTTGCTGCAGATTTGTCGGCTTCACATCCATGAACCGTTGATACAAGGCAGGATGGATCCATGCTCTCATGCTGTTTACGCCAAATTCTGACCCTACCATCTGAATGTTGCAGCTGAAATCAAGACTCATCAGACCAGGCTATGTTTTTCCAATCTCCTATTGTGTAATTTTGGTGAGCCTGTGCAAATTGTATCCTCTGTTTCCTGTTCTTAGCTGACAGGAGTGGCAACCAGAGTGGTCTTCTGCTGCTGTAGCCCATCTGCTTCAAGGTTCAATGTGTTGTGTGTTCTGAGATGGCATCCTGCATACCTTGGTTGTAACGAGTGGTTGAGTTATATGTCGCAACAGTCTGCCCATTCTCCTCTGACCTCAATAAGGCATTTTCGTCCACACAACTGCTGCTCACTGGATATTTTCTTTTTTTTTGGACCATTCTCTGTAAACCCTAGAGATGGTTGTGTGTGAAATTCCCAGAAGATCAGCAGCTTTTTTCAAACACTCAGACCAGTTCATCTGGCACCAACAACCGAGCCATGTTCAAAGTCACTTAAACCCAGTTTCTTTCCCATACTGCTGGTTTGAACTTCAGCAAGTCGTCAATACCTAAATGCATTGAGTTGCTGCCACGTGATTGGCTGATTAACAATTTGTGTTATCAAGCAATTGAACAGGTGTACCTAATAAAGTGGCTGGTGAGTGTGTGTGTATATATATATATATATATATATATGCACACACTTCTTTATAAAACTCTCAGATTCCTCTACTACCAGCCAAAACTGAGCAGACATCTTATGTCTATTAGAGAAGTCTGTGAATTACGGAGATATGCTGCAGTAACCTGCTGAGTGACTGCAGACATTCTTCTCCTCCTCACTGAGGCTGCAGTGTCTGTGGGGGTGTGCATTTCCTTACCATCCACATCTTGCATATGTGGTCTGCCAGCCCCAGTAGGAGGAGACATGCTATGTAACTGGGTGTGACGTGACTGACAATATTGTGTAGTAGGTTTGGGAGGCCCAGGGCCCCTCTCTATTGTGCTGTTACAATGTCCTCCCTGCTCCTGATCCTGCCACTGCTGGTGACAACTGTCTGTGAGTATGATAATGATGACACTAGAAAAGGGATGTGAACATTGCTGTGGATAGGGGCAGCTGCAGATTGCAACAGAAGCAGCGAGCGTGTCCTTGTGATGTTGTGCTATTTGCATGCCGGCTGGTTTCACAATGAGATAACAGACTGCAGGATCAGTGGCATCGCTCTCTGCAGACATACATCTTGATGGTCAAGAAGAGATGTATGGATGCTTTCTGCTCTGTGTCTTCTCTGCTTGTCATTGCCCGAGGCATTACGCACTGTGTCGTGTTACTATACATAATAACACTGAGTAGTCCCCCTGTAATCCTCGGTGTGTCTGTGCCTATTCCATAGATGTCTGGGTGACTGTGTGTGTGGACCTGTAGCTATGCAGACAGATGTCTTTCTAGTACAGTATGTTTATAGCTGCATCCTTATCCTACAATGGGAGCTTGATAGGAACAATCCCAGCTGGTTTCATTGTAGTCTAAGTGACAATGATTTGGATAGAAGCACCCTCTCACATCTGTATTACAGAACCTCCAACAAATCTGCAGTCCATCTTTCATCTCATTATTGACATGGACAACTCAAAGAATGTGTTAAATTATAAAGGCAAACACATCATAGTGCTATCTTTCCTTATGGTTTTCCTAGTGAGAAGATTACCCGTACATAAAGCATAGGGCATATGCAACACATAATATGCAGCTATGGGCTGCTGAAATTTTTGTTTAAGTTTTACATTTTTAATAACATTTTTTTAGCTAAGAAGAAACTAAATACATCAAAACTATAAAGGTTACAGATCTAATAAGTACATCTATAGTTTACGGTATATGAATATCAAGTTTTACACCTTCAATGAGCCCCAAAAGGAGAAGGAATTCATGTGGCCATAAGGTAATCAAAACCAAAGCAACAAAAGCATCAGATAATTAAAAAAAAAAGTTTTCTCAAACACCTACTTACTGAGATAAGACGGTACTAAGACATTTATGATGGACCTGGCATCAAATATATTTTTTTCTTAGTAAAGCAAAACTAAATTTTAAAAAACATAAATTGTGAGTAGGCAGGATCTTTATTGCAGAGGTGACATGTTTCTTCTGCAATAAAAAAAAAACTTACCTATCTGTTTGCAGTCTTCCTTAGAATGTACACTGAGCTGCTCATTTGCCGGAGTTACAAATATGCAGCAGAACTATACTGCATCCGAGCACCAAAAACGCTATCGAATTAATTTTTAATATCCAAATCAATCCCCTCTCCACCTCCCATCAATCCATGTCTCCATGCTTTATTTTGATGAGAAATCACTTTGAAAAACAGCCCCTAGCATTTCTGGCTGTGGCCATGTTGACTAAGGGCAAATGATTTGTGTAGCCTTCACTTCCTGAAATCCATCTGCCCTTATCTCAGGCATGAAGGCAGGAGGGTGTGCTTTGCTATTAAAACACCTCTCTCTTCACCTCCTGAAGACATCAATTTGCCTAGGCTGAAACCAGGAAGCAGCTGAAGAAATGGAAAAAAAAAAAGTTTACAGCAAGTAAATATAATATACCGTCCTATCTATTTACTAATGCTAGCAGCACAAAGATTAAAAATTGTCAATGTTAACCTGAGAGAGTAAAGTTCCACAATAACCAAGACAGATGAAGAAGCTGATGTTGCCACAGGCGGAGGAGCGAGGGGGGAGTATTTGCAAACTTTAGTTCTACCTGAAAGCCCCACTCCGGGAAAAAAAACTAACTTTTAAACATACTTCTTCCCCCCATCCTAATAACCCATTCTTCTAGTCCGTCCCCCACCCCTTACCTGGTGATATACTCACCTAGGTCCCCAGTCCAGATCCTTCAGTATCACCAGTTCTGGTGCTGGGATGGAACTGTGAGACCACCGCCCCTTTGTGATAAAGTTACCTTCTTCTATCTCCTGAGAGAACCCCTCCAGTGGCTGTCCAATAGGAAGTGTTCACTTCTCACAGACAGTGACATGGACACTTGAAGAAGGACCCTTAGGAAGCAAACAGAAGAAAGAGAAGACTGGGGCCAGCCGTGTCATGAGATCATGGATTCAGGTAAGTTTCTTTTTTTTTCTTTCTAAAAACAGTGATCATTTTAGAGTTGGTAGGAAGGGGTGGGATGGATGTAATTTTTATCCTGGAGAAGGTTTTTAAGTGCAGCAATCTATGCAATATGTCAGTGCAACACTTCCAGGTATTTATTAACTCTCAGAGATCAAAGTAATCCCTCTGACAACATCTTCATTGTCTTTCTATGCAGAAGGAGGAGCCTTCTTTGTTCAGGCACCACTCACGGTTAGCATCTACTTTCTGGACTGAGGTGCTGGCTCAGAGACAACACAGCCTTGTAAATCCTGGTGCCCAAATAGTTTTTGGCTCTGTTCACAAATGTCCTACACAGATCAGCCCCTGATGCAGCCTCTCGTGTGACTTGCTACAAACAAACAGCAGAGAAACAAAGTCACTGGACTGGAGCATAACGCTGGCCATAGATGGAGAAATCTTTCCTGCAATCACGGGTTGCCGAAATCACTTGATTCCCCCATGAACACAGTCAGTGTTGATGGGGAAATACCTCCCGCACAGTCATTGTGTTCTCCCGGCGAGGTAGGTGGGGGGACAGAGTGCACCATCCCCGCCAAGAGAACACAGTGATTACTGCTAGTGGCTATAATAACCGCTAGCAATAATTAATTTAAAATCTGACAAGCCGGTTGCACCCAAGTTGATCAACCGATCAGCTTGGGTACATTCAGCCTGCCCATACATGGTTTGAATCTTGGCCAGTCCCTGCTGAACCAGCCAAGATTCGAACCGTCTATGGCCAGAATTAGGATGTCTTTTTTAATTATCAATGAGGGAGTTTTTTTTTTTAATTATACTGCTGCTGTACATTGTGATATGTCAGGAACTTGCTCAAGCAGATCTGTAAAGCCAATAATAAGTCAATTTTCAGTGTCTTTGGAGCCTCTGGCCTTGGACTAGATCAGGGGTTCTAACTTTGGTTGCTGTATGTATCTGTGGTGTCAGCAGTTCAAAACATATTGAAGCCAGTAAGCCATCCTCCATATTTCTCCCATTATAGGTTTTCTGTAAGCTCTGAGACTGCACCAAAACTTTGTGACCAAAGTATAGAAAGACACACTTTATGGCATGGTACAAGCAAAACATAGCCCATCAGCTATGGCTCTACTTTTCCTATCTGCAATAAAACACTGTAAATGCGACATGATCACAGGGATTCCCACTGAGACAATGCAACCATATTCTGCTCACTGAGGAATCTTCATGCTTTGAGCTAAAAGTAAACTCACTGTTGTGAGGTGTTCTTGTATGATGTGACCATTCCTCAAATTTCCTATGTGCTGCTGACATGCAAACTGGTGGCTGTAAGATCACTGTCACCTTTTATGCTGCATTAGAAACTTAGAGGATTGGTGGTTAACACTTGTATCACAGCACTGGAGTCTCCAGTTCAAATCCTGGCTAAGTCACTATCTGCATGGAGTTTGCAGCATGTTCATGGATCTCCTCCAGATTCTATCCACACTGCAAACACATGTTGGTAGCAGGGGCGGACTGACCATTGGGGAACTCGGGCACTGTAGGGCCCAGGGTCAGTAGGGGGCCCCGTGAGATGTCCTTGGTACCTTTCATAGGCTTTTTTGGGTGTGATTTGAGTGTGGGCGAGGACACAGGGGCCCCATGATCTCCTATTGCCCGGGGGCCCCATGAGTTGTCAATCCGCCCCTGGTTGGTAGCTTAATTGGCTCCTTTCCCAATTGGCCCTAGTATGTGTGTATATACATGTGAGATAGGGACCTTAGATTGTAAGCTCACTGAAGGCACAGGCTGATGTGAATGTGCCGATTAAATTATTGGTGCTATAGAAATACTATAATATATATAAATACCTGTAATAAAAACTTTAAAATAAAATGATGTGCTATAAAACCACACCATTATTTGCACTGTGGTGGCACTGTATATTAGCACTGGAATAATAAATACATGTATAAGCTCTCAGGACCTGCAAATAAACTCGATGGTGCATGTGTTACACATGAGAAAATGACAACTTGGCAATTGTTTCTGTCTCTCAGGCGCTCAACTGCAAGTCACAACCCCTCCTTCTCCAGTTTCAGCGGAAGTAGGATCCACTGCCATCTTGCCGTGTAAGTTTACCTTAGGTGTCACCCCAGTGGACCCTGCGCAGGTACATGTGGTATGGAAGAATGAGGGAAAGAAAGTGCTGTCATACGTGGATCAAATCACAGCATTCAGACCCGGGGCACAGGTAACAGAAGAGCACCTGGCACAGGGAGATGCCTCACTGTCTCTCCCTAATGTCACCCATGAGGACGCTGGCTGGTACTCCTGTAGCATCCGACTAGCAAGCATCTGAACAAGCTACACAGAGTTTAAACTTAATAATCAAAGGTAAGTGAGAATTGTGTCTTTGTTTATTGATGATCCCCCTTAAGTGGAACTAAAGGAGTTCAATTAGCCTTTCCAACTCTCCCTTGCCGATGCTGGCAACTTCTTTTGTGTGTCGGTTTTCAGCCATCATCATTGGCCGCTGCAGGATGACGTCACTCCTGCACATGTGCAGGAGCCAGTTATACTGGCACACAGAGACTAGTCCAGCGCTGTAAGCTGAGCTAAGCAAACGCAGCTCAGTTTGCAGCATCAGAGAAGACAGTGAACAGGCAGGTAGGGGCATTTTATTGCGGAAGAAACATTGTGTGTCTGTTCTGCAGTAAACGTCTGCCTGCTCACTGTTTGTTAACCACTTGCCTACCAGGCACTTATACCCCCTTATTTACCAGGCCAATTTTCAGCTTTCAGCGCTGCCGCACTTTGATTGACAATTGCGCGGTCATGCAACATTGTACCCATATGAAATTTTGATCATTTTTTTCTCACAAATAGAGCTTTCTTTTGGTGGTATTTAATCGCCACTGGGCGCTTTACTTTTTGCGCTATAAATAAAAAAGGTGCAAAAAATTTGAAAAAAAAAAAAAAAAGTTTCTTTGTTTCTATTATAAAATTTTTCAAACAGGTAATTTTTCTCCTTCACTGATGTGCGTTGATGAGGCAGCACTGATGGGCACTGATAGGCGGCACTGATGGGCACTGATAGGCAGCACTAAAGGGCACTGATAGGCAGTACTAATGAGGTGGCACGGATAGGCGGCACTAATATGCAGCACTGATAGGCGGCACTGATAGGTGACACTGATGATGGGTACTGATAGACGGCACTGACTGGCATCACTGCTGGGCACTGACTGGCGGCACTGATTGGCACAACCGCTGGGCACTGACTGGTGGCACTGACTGGCAGCACTGCTGGGCTGCACTGGTGGGTGGCACTGGTGGGCGGCACTGGTGGGCTGGCACAGGTGGGTGGCACTGGTGGGCACAGGTGGGTGGCACTGCTGGGCACAGGTGGGTGGGCACAGGTGGGTGGCACTGCTGGGCACAGGTAGGTGGCACTTCTGGGCACAGGTAGGTGGCACTGCAGAGTGGCACAGGTGGGTGCACTGCTGGGCACAGGTGGGCGGAGCTAGTGGGCGCACTGCTGGGCACAGGTGGGCGGAACTTGCGGGTGGCACTGCTGGGCACCGATCATCAGGGCACTGATCATCAGTGCCCTGATGATCGGTGCCGATCCCCGCTCTGACAACTGCCGGTTCTCGGCAGTACTTTCCTCACGATCTGACAGCGTGATCCCTGTGATCAACGTGTCATTGGACACCGCTGATCACGTGGTAAAAGGCCGCTGTGATTGGCCTTTTACCACATCACGTGATCAGCTGTGTCCGTAGGACACAGCGATCACGGAGATCGCCGGGTGCACGCCCCAGAGCGCGTTCTGGGGGGGACGTCATATGACGTCCACTCAGAACTGGCCGGCCGCAGTGCAGCCGTCATTCGGCTATCTGTGGTCGGCTACTAGTTAAAGGAGAACTTCAGTTCCGCTTTAGGTACTTCTCTATTGCAATAGACCGGGCAGGAGCTCTTCCATTCTGGGTGGATGTCCTCCTCTGTATGGGCAACGCCACCTTGACTCAGTGAATGACAGATCAGTGTACCGGGCCGCTTCTGTTACCATGTGATTGGTGTGACCAATACCTCCTCAGAGTAGTTACCATAGTAACACTGTACTGCCGTGGTCACAATATGTAAAAACAAATCATTACATCATTTAAAAATAAATGTAAGAAAAAATAAACATTGAAAAAAAATGATTAATTAGTTAACAGACAGCATGGATTCATGAAAAACAAAAGTTGTCAAACAAATCTGATTTCTTTTTATGAGAAGGTGAGCAAAATCTTTGGACAGAGGGGTGGCCGTGGACGTGGTATACTTGGACAGAGGGGTGGCTGTAGACGTGGTATACTTGGACAGAGGGGTGGCGGTGGACGTGGTATACTTGGACAGAGGGGTGGAAGTGGGCATGGTTTACTTGGATTTTGCAAAAGCATTAGACACAGTTCCCCACATACGGCTAATGTAAAGCCTACATGTTTGGAAAGATCTGTATGTAAATTAATAGAAAATGGCTAAAAGATGGTATTCAGAGAGTTGTGGTTAATGATTCATACTCTGAATGGTCTAGGGGTATTAGTGGTGTACTCCACGGTTCAGTGTTGGGACCCTTACTTTTTAATATATATATAAACAATAAAGGGTCTGGGATTATAAATCCCATTTCAGTCTTTGCAGATGACACCAAGCTGTGCCGTGGAATAAAGTCCTTACAGGATGTCTCCAACTTACAGGCTGACCTCAATGCTCTGTGTATTTGGGCAACTATGTGGCAAATGAGGTTTAGTGTTGATAAATGTAAGGTTCTGCACTTGGGGGTTAAGAATATGCATGAATCATACATACTAAGGGGGGTACAACTGGGTGAATCAATGGTGGAGAAGGATCTGGGGGGGGTCAATGGTGAAGAAGGATCTGGGGGTTCTGGTAAATCACAAGCTTAATAATGGCAGCAATGCCAAGCTGCGGATTCTGAAGCGAGCAAAATCCTCTCTTGTATTAGGAGAGGTATAGACTCCAAAGAGAGAGATATCATTTCCCCCGGTACAAATCAGTAGTAAACCTCATCTGGAATATGCAGTTCAGTTTTGGGCACCAATTCACAAAAAGAACATTGGGGATCTGGAGAAAGTACAGAGAAGGGCAACTAAACTGATAAGAGGCATGGAGGAGATCAGCTATGAGGAAAGATTAGAGGAACTGAATTTATTCTCTCTTGAGAAGAGGAGATTGAGGGGGGATATGATCTCCATGTATAATACACAAGGTGGGATATGATCTCCATGTATAATACATAAGAGGGGATATGATCTCCATGTATAATACATAAGGGGGGATATGATCTCCATGTATAATACATAAGGGGGATATGATCTCCATGTATAATACATAAGGGGGGATATGATCTCCATGTATAATACATAAGGGGGATATGATCTCCATGTATAATACATAAGGGGGGATATGATCTCCATGTATAATACATAAGGGGGGATATGATCTCCTTGTATAATACATAAGGGGGGGTATGATCCCCATGTATAATACATAAGGGGGGATATGATCTCCATGTATAATACATAAGGGGGATATGATCTCCATGTATAATACATAAGGGGGGATATGATCACCATGTATAATACATAAGGGGGGGATATGATCACCAAGTATAATACATAAGGGGGGATATGATCTCCATGTATAATACATAAGGGGGATATGATCTCCATGTATAATACAAAAGGGGGGATATGATCTCCATGTATATAATACATAAGGGGGGATATGATCACCATGTATAATACATAAGGGGGGATATGATCTCCATGTATAATACATAAGGGGGATATGATCTCCATGTATAATACATAAGGGGGGGATATGATCTCCATGTACAATACATAAGGGGGGGGGGGTATGGTCTCCATGTAAAATACATAAGGGGGAGATATAATCACCATGTATAATACATAAGGTGGGATTATGATCTCCATGTATAATACATCAGGGGGGATATGATCACCATGTATAATACATAATGGGGGATATGATCTCCATGTATAATACATAATGGGGGATATGATCTCCATGTATAATACATAAGGGGGATATGATCACCATGTATAATACATAAGAGGGATGTGCTCTCCATGTATAAGACATAAGGGGGGGATATGATCACCATGTATAATACATAAGGGGGGATATGATCTCCATGTATAATACATAAGGGGGGATATATTCTCCATGTATAATACACAAGGGGGGATATGATCACCATGTATAATACATAAGGGGGATATGATCTCCATGTATAATACATAAGGGGGATATGATCACCATGTATAATACATAAGGGGGGATATGATCTCCATGTATAATACATAAGGGGGGATATGATCTCCATGTATAATACAAAAGGGGGGATATGATCTCCATGTATAATACATAAGGGGGGATATGATCACCATGTATAATACATAAGGGGGGATATGATCTCCATGTATAATACATAAGGGGATATGATCTCCATGTATAATACATAAGGGGGGGATATGATCTCCATGTACAATACATAAGGGGGGGGGGTATGGTCTCCATGTAAAATACATAAGGGGGAGATATAATCACCATGTATAATACATAAGGTGGGATATGATCTCCATGTATAATACATCAGGGGGGATATGATCACCATGTATAATACATAAGGGGGATATGATCACCATGTATAATACATAAGGGGGGATATGATCTCCATGTATAATACATAATGGGGGATATGATCTCCATGTATAATACATCAGGGGGGATATGATCACCATGTATAATACATAAGGGGGATATGATCACCATGTATAATACATAAGGGGGGATATGATCTCCATGTATAATACATAATGGGGGATATGATCTCCATGTATAATACATAAGGGGGGGATATGATCTCCATGTATAATACATAAGGGGGATATGATCACCATGTATAATACATAAGGGGGATATGATCTCCATGTATAATACAAAAGGGGGGATATGATCTCCATGTATAATACATAAGGGGGGATATGATCACCATGTATAATACATAAGGGGGGATATGATCTCCATGTATAATACATAAGGGGGATATGATCTCCATGTATAATACATAAGGGGGGGATATGATCTCCATGTACAATACATAAGGGGGGGGGGGATATGATCTCCATGTAAAATACATAAGGGGGAGATATGATCACCATGTATAATACATAAGGTGGGATATGATCTCCATGTATAATACATAAGGGGGATATGATCTCCATGTATAATACATAAGGGGGATATGATCTCTATGTATAATACATAAGGGGGGGATATGATCTCCATGTATAATACAT